TGTGGATGAGCTGTAGCTGTGAAGGCCTTTTAAGAACACACTGAGCATCCTGGAGGGATGAGCAAACAGGATTCCAGTTCAGAGACTTCCTGCAACGGGGGGAAGAGGAAGAGGAAGAGGAAGAGGAAGAGGAAGAGGAAGAGGAACATTCCAGTGACATTCCCTGAGGGGGTTGTGAAGAGAACGTTGAAGCTGCGGTTTTGATTCTTTTTATTTTCTTTTACTTTTCTCCTGTCCTGCTGTGATGCAGCACTGGGGCAGGTTGAGTTTTCTTTTGTTTTTGGCCTTGCTCTTTTTCTTCCAGGCTGGACCCTGCTAAATCGGGATAATCCAGACTGGATACAGCTGTTTCAAGCAGTCTCTCTTTTTCCCCTAGACTGGACCTCCCTAGATATAGTCCAGACTGAATACCGCTGTGCAAAGCGGTCTGCTTTTTCTTTTTTTATTTTTTTTTTGGTTTGTGCTGACCTCGCACTAGTGCCTTCACCCCCTCAAATGTGGAGCTGACTTTTACTGGTGTTTGCCGTGACTCCTCCCACTCCTGCATTGTTACATATGGTTATTAGAGATAGTGTATATTGAATTGTTTAGTGTCTCTCTGTATCCCTTCTGTCTCCTTTGTGATGTACAATAATTGTTTGCTTTCTCCTAAAGTTTATGTGGGAAAAAAAGCATGTGAAACCATTTTGGATATTACCTAAATTAATTTTGAGAGATTTTAACAGTTACACTCCAAAACATAGACTTGTTGTTATGCTGCAGCTTCTGATAAGCTGGTGATTGTTATAACAGAAGCTGTGAATGGGAAGATCAGAAATTATAAAGAGGATTTGATGCAGGCAGGTGGAAGACAGTATGTAAAGATCTGTCTATAGAAACAAAGAGAAAAGAGGTTGGCTCTGTAAAAAATGATTCAAAAAAGGAAAAAACGAAAAAGGCCAGGAAAAAATATCAAAATGACAAAAAAGGGAAAATAGATTAAGGAGGATTTCACTGAATTGTTGAGCAGGAAAAAAAAGAATAGAAGGTAGTAGTTTGCTAGCAAGAGAGATGCAAACGCTCACTCTGGTGTTGAGGCTTTAATGACGGAGCAATGATATAGAGGTTCAAGGTGACTTAAATAAGGCGTCTAAATAATGTGATTGAGAACTATATCACAACCCTAATTGTTGATTGGAGTCTGATAGTTGGCATAATTGAAAAGTGTCCTGAACTAGTTTAAGTGGCAGGTTGAGAGCTCCTGGGAATGTTGCCCCTGACAATAGCAGGACATGAGTGGGTCCTGGCTTGGGTATGACACTTATATAGTACTTGTATTGTAGAACTTATTATCCATTGCAAGATCTCTGTTGGGTAGGACTGTTCACAATACAGTGCTTCACAAGCCAATTTATCAATTACTCTTCAGAAGTTAAAAAACAGAGACCACTTAGGTAAATGTCTGTGACAAAGAAATCTCTGAA